ACGGGGAGATATCAACAGCGACGACACAGTCAGGAGCCTGCCCTATAACTCCAATCCACCAAAATGTCATATTCACAGACTCTATATATATTAATAATTCTATTTCTTTTTCATGTAGACCTATAAAGGACCTAACTGGCACCCAAGGAGTGACTAAGCATTGCGCTACACTGCCGATATGGGTGACTGGCGGGTAAATGTAGTGCACAGGCACTACATGGTCCACAGTTGCGGTAGCCAGCGTGTAAGATAGAGAGTGAGGACAGCAGCCTATAAGAGACCTGAGGTTACCTAAGTTAGCTATAGACGGAATTCGATAATATTAGCAGGTTTAGAAGCATATTAGAGGTGTAGCAGTTGATTTGGTGCTGGGACTGAGTAGCAGCACCCCGTCGCAGAGCTATGCGCGCTGGCGCATAGAAGGTAAGTGACATAGTTGGGTCATGTCTGGCTCGGTGTATTCAATTAAGGATAGAGGTTTTGTGAATTTGAATAAAATTGGTACATTCAGGAGCAGAGTTAATCCGAAAGAGTCGGACCTCGCCTGCGGTCCGACCGCCGCACCCGGTGCCGGGTTGGACGGCAGGGTGAAACCCGCACCTGGCGGGGAGGAACAGACTCACTGAAGGAAGGCGATTTTGGAACGAACCTTCCTTCGGAAGTTCCGTAATTTAGGGATTTTCCATGGGAATAACTAAGAGTTAAGGGATTTAGACACTCATTTTGTAGATCTAGCTCATACGGGGGCCTAGAGGCCTATAGAGGTGACTACGTAGCCACGGTATGCGGCCACCGTGTGTTACAGTAAGCCTACTAACCTGACTCTACCTACGGTACTCGATTCTTAGAACATTTAGCAGTATTAGTTCCCTTTCCTAGTTACTAATGCCCTAATCCCAATATTCATTCCACAGGCACTACAATGTGGCTGTGGTGTGATCTCTAGTAGCTTACTGACATCACACCAGAGCCACATTGTCGTGCTTGTGCACTACAGAAAACCTTTCGTGGCAACCAGCCAGGCTAGACAATTTGCTCCACTCAGGCTTGAGAACTTTCAAGTTTCTGCATTGATATATTTCTGGCAGTTTGGAGACGATATGATTGATCAGCACTGGTCCTGTGTAGGCTCAGAGGCTAGGGGGCTTGTTGCGGAGGAAGTGACCCTGCGAGTTGCCGAACCTTCTTTGGGATCCTCCGTTGGGTTGAGTCTTCTTTCAGGCACCGCTTTTTTGACTAAGGCTGAGCAGCGTTTGACATCTGTAACAACCACAAGGGCTGCTGATGCAGTGTAGCGGATCACTGCAGCCGCAGCAAGCGCGTCCTGCCCTCGCCGCTGGTCTCCCCGCGGTGACCCCGCAGTGGCCCGTAGACAAGATCTGTAGAGCTGGCGGGTTGCACAGTCCCCGTCCAATAGGTGCTACCATGAGAAGGGAGGAGATTGTGTGCCTACGAGAAGACAGTTGATGCGACAAGCTCCTGCCACTTGTCTCCGAAGGGGCTGGAGTGTAGTGCCTAGGGTTGTCTGCCTGCACTACTTCTATCAAGTCTACTTCCGTCTATCTACCCCTAAGGCTATCGAAAAATCTCTTGGGAATTCTTTTTAATGGACTGACGGGGCAGAATAGGCTCAAAAAGCAAGACATGCTCGAGTTATATGGTCACCCTTCACGGTATCGGGATTTATGAAACTTCTAGATGCTCCCGTGCCTACCAATGCCTCGCATCGTTGTCCTGCTATCACCAGTCTCAGAACAGCTGCTGTTCCCGCACTACACAGGCTCCCCAACTGTGTGTCTTCCTCCCCACTCATCTGCCACCAATGACCTTTCCATAGTTGATCCGCGCAGCACCTGGGCGACTGCGCGCGTCGGCGCAGGTTCCGCTACCTGAGCAAGCAATTTTTCTTGCCAATTCGGGGAAACCGGTATGCTATTGGGCCCTGTAGCTATTGTGCACAGGGCACCGCTACCGGATGCAATTCGCCTAGCCCGTTCGTCCCCGTCAACGGCGAGGCCTGCTCGTTTAAACGTCTAGGTGGGCTAGGCCGGGAACGAATCGGTGGAGTCTCTCGTTTGATAGTGGGAGCTCCATTCGTGTCGTAGGGCGAGGTACACGTGGAGATATAGTGTCCCACTCCTCCGCACCGACGACACATTTCTCCAGGGCGCCTAGTGGCCTCTCTTCTTGATGGGCAGGCCAGTGCTGAGTGCCCTCTACCCCGACACACGGAACATTCTAAAGTTCTGGTTTGCTCTCTGGTAGGAGGCGGGTGTTCCCGTATGGTCTCCCGCCTTTCACTCGTGCGCTTCTGGTGTTCGTGGTTCCCGTAAGTTGTTGGAATGTGCCGTAGTTCCCGCTGAGTACGTCGGTAGTACTTCAACGCTTCATCCCAGTTTCCCACTACGTCCCTCAGCTCCTCAGCGGCGTCCTCCCACTTTTCAAATCTCAAGTGTCCGCTCCTCGTCAGTTTCTCATAGATATCCACAGGTACATTAGCTAGATAATATGCCACCAACTCCCCCTGTGGCAGGGGTTCAGTGTGACAGATTATACTAGAGAAATCGGATGAATACTTCCCTGGGCATCCTTCCCATTTTATCTTAGCCAGTTGAACTAAGGTAGTCTCCTTAGCGGCCCTGCAGAATCTCCCTAGCAGGTTCCTTCTCACCTCGTTCCACTCATTTAGGTCCACATTGGTGTCGTATAGGTGGAATCCGAACGTTATGACTTCGCCAGTGAGATACTTGCGCACCTCATATCCCCATCGTTCCCGGGGTATGCCGAAGTCTCTAAAATTTAATTCGAAGTTCCTATGGCAGTTTAGCATACTAGATCCACCTTCAAACGGTATCTGGAGGACTGGTCGGAAGAAGGGATCACCCCTGCAAGCTCTCGTGTCATAGTAATCGTTTCTCGCTGTCTGTAATGGAGAGTCGGAATCAGAATTTAAAGCTATTCTCTGTATGTATGTTTTTTCTCGGGCCCTAGTTCCATCATAGGGGCGCGCCCCACAACCTTGTCTCTGCCCCTCTGGCGGATCTCGATCCCCCCCCATCATTGAATCTGCCCCCAGACGGTAGTGGTCGTAGCCCAAATTTTCGAATTGGCGTCCCCGAGTTTACAAGGTAAACAAACTGACGAAAAAAGTGACAAAATTCCTAAAATTTCCCGGCACGGCCCCCAAATGTAACACACGGTGGCCGTCTACCGTGGCTACGTAGTCACCTCTATAGGCCTATAAGCCCCTGTATGAACTAGATCTACAAAACGCGTGTCCTATTACCTCAACTCTCAGTTATTCACAGGGAAAATCCCTAAATTACGGAACTTCCGAAGGAAGGATCGATCCAAATCGCCTTCCTTCATTGAGTGTCTGTTCCTCCCCGCCAGGTGCGGGTTTCACCCTGTCGTCCATCCCGGCACCGGGTGCTTCGGTCGGACCGCAGGCAAGGACCGACTCTTTCGGACTAACTCTGCTCCTGAATGTACCAATTTTTTTCAAATTCACAAAACCTCTATCCTTAATTGAATACACCGAGCCAGACATGACCCAACCATGTCACTTACCTTCTATGCGCCAGCGCGCATAGCTCTGCGACGGGGTGCTGCTACTCAGCCCCAGCACCAAATCAACTGCTACACCTCTAATATGCTTCTAAACCTGCTAATATTATCGAATTCCATCTATAGCTAACTTAGGTAACCTCAGGTCTCTCATAGGCTGCTGTGCTCACTCTCTATCTTACACGCTGGCTACCGCAACTGTGGACTATGTAGTGTCAAATGGTGCTTCCTCCACTACGAGTTCACGACTTCCCCTTCACTATGTAACGCATACTCGCTTTTCTGAATATTAAAAGCCCTATTTCGCGGATATGACAGTGTCTATTCCACACACATACTACCACCGCCGTCAGCTAACCCACAGGACCAACCACGCTACACCTCCCTAGGTACCCTGACCCTTGAACAATGGTAGTAGCTACTCCTTTCTTCTAAAAACTATCCTAATTTCTAATATTTAGCAATACCTTTGCCACTCTCAGACTTATACCGTCTTTACTCCACTCATGGGCTTATTTTAGTGTCGTGCACTACATGGAGGACTTGTACCGGAGGGACCTGGAGATCTTCCGCCTTCTGGGTTCCCTTTCCCTGTTGCACCATACGGTAATCCTACCGAAATGGCTCTCTTGTGTGCAGTTCTGGTGCTTTTAGCCCTATTGCAGCAGCGGCTGCTCCCGCATGCGCACAGCAGCGTCGTCATCGTCCACAGCAGGTCAACGTCGCCAGCAGCAGCGGCAATCCAGAGTAGCTTCTCTGAGTTTCTGAAGGGGCCCCTTCGACTGAACCTTGCCTACAGACTGCAGCAGCTGAAGAATCAGCAACACCACATCCAGCAGCCACAACCATTCCCGGCATACGTGCGACTTCGGTGTGCCGGTGCTGGAACACAGCCGAGAGCAATAACGGCATCCTATCCCTCAGCAACAGCAGCACTAAATGCAACTGCAACAAAGGTCGCCGCGCCCCAGTCTGATTTAGAACATTCAGCATCGACAACAGCAACACTTGGTACAAAAGCAACTGCAGCAGCAGCACCCGACCTGCCGTTTCGAATCGGACATGGCTATGACATGCACCGTTTGTCTACAAATCCCCAGACAGTCACAGGTTAGCTGTTTCGGTTTCCGTTCTTGCCATTTACATTGCAAGTAATAAGTGTTGAGCAAGTTTTTTATGCAATTCACAGTAGGTTTCTTTATTGTGCACAACACATGCAAGGCGGTTCATCCTTGTAGATATAGTGTCTAATGGAACTTTTGATATCATCCAACACTCATGTCCTTTCAGCTAGCAGGAGTCAGGGGTGCTAATCGTTCATTTATTTGAAGCAATATGAAATCTAAGCTTTGGCGTGGCAAATAATAGGTTTTGGTTATTAAAAGGGAACATATGGCTGCTGGTTACGGGGCTAAGGGTGCAAGAGAATTTTTCGGATCGAATTCGTACAATCAGCAGACGGTAGAATATCCTGTGGACGTACAGCAAGACATGAGACACTGTAACTATAGTTTTCAGGAAATATTAGGGTTAGCGAGAGAGGTGCCTGCCTACGATGTACGAACGCTTTAGCGCCTTTGTGAGTCGAACATTACACTTCTGCTACATATTTGATTCATGTTGGTGATATTACGTGAAGGGTGAATGTGAATCAAGGGACTGACAATTAATAGAGCTTTGTGTCGCATCTGATGTTTAGGCCCCCTGGTGCTCTCGGGAGTTTCCTTCGCCTCTGAGGCAACAGAAGCAGCAGCAGAAGCAACAACCGCTGATGGCGAACAACCACAGGCCATATTGGGGGCTGCAGCAGCGGTTTCTGCTGCTCTTCGGGGTGGACACCAGCTCCTTTCGGCTGCCTCATTAGGCATTAGGCGCTTGTTCAGACGGGCCATACACAGGACTAGCACTAGCAGCAACGACAACGGCGGCGGCGGAGGCTGCAGCAATGTTAGACTCGGTGTGATAGCCCACTCAGATGGCGACGTGGTGCTGCATGCTGCAGCAGACGCCATATTTGCCGCGTCGGGGGCTGCTGACATCGGACAGCATTTCCCTGACACAGCAGCTGAAAACAAAGGCCGAGACTCCAGAGATTTTGTCTCAGCAGCGGCAGCAGCGGCTGCTGCTGCCGGGTACACCGTAGCGCAGCTGGACGTAACCCTCCTCTTGCAGCGCCCCCGAATCGGTTGCAAGAAGCACCAGATGGTTGAAAACCTCGCAGCAGCCCTAGGTATCCACAGCAGCCAAGTTTCAATTAAGGCGAAGACGGGAGAAGGCATAGGGCCTGTGGGGCGCAGCGAGGCAGTAGAGTGTCACGCGGTGGTGCTGTTGCAGCGAATGGGGCTACGCACACCGCAGTAAGCAGCTTGCACTATGAGCAAAATACCACTGCTCTATCGATTGAACGGCGTGCTGCAGGAGCAGTCTAGTTCCTGTGGCTTTAGACGAAAAAGGAATCCCACGTTATCTGCTGTGACAGCTTAGGCGTTGCTGCTGCTCTTGGTGCTTGCGCTGCTGTGGCTGTTGGCGCTGCCTTGCTCAAGAAGTTGTGTGACGAGAAGGCATCCAGTAGCTGTAAGTGCGCGCAGCCTGTGCAAAATGGCTGTCATCGATGTGGTGTTATTTTGATCTGGTCATAATAACCCCGGCAAGTACAAAGGAGAAACGTTCGGGAATTGCTGCTGCAGTTGGCTTTCCCGAACGTTTCTACAGCAGCAGGTGCTGCTGCTGCAGCTGGCTTTCGACTTTCTGTACAGCGTTACTTTTCCCGTTGGTACAGTTGTCGTTATCCCATGTGTAGTTTTGACATATTTGAGGAAGCAAGCAGCTCAGCAGCGTAGGAAGATAACAGAAAATCAGGAAATCGGATTACATAGCTTTCGTTCGCCACGCCATCACTGCATCACAGCTAAGGCACCGAAGAATCAACATGTCCAAAGCGCGCCAGCAGCCCCCGCAACACTCCCGCGGGCACCTGCCGCTGTTGCGGTTCTGCAGTTTGAAAGTGCAGGCGGCTGGGTCTGCAGAGACAGGGTAGACAGCCCTCCCCACCGGCTGCCGCTGCCGCAGCCCGTTTTAGAGCCGCTCCAGGATCTGCATGCATCCTAGTGGAAAAAGTAGGGGCTGTCGAGGACCTGGTGAATGTCAAGTTGCCCCTTGGCTGGGGGTGGCGGGAGCTTCGCTGCTTGCTGGGGAAGTCTGAGTTTGACACTGTCGTAAAGAGACTGCAGGGGATTGTGCTGATAGAGGGCAACGAACTGCTGTCTAAGGGCAGTGGCCAGGGTGTCTATACATCCCGCGTGCGCCCAGTAGGAGTCGTGTACGGCGGCCATGTCGATGTGGCGGGTCCCTATACAATCCAAGGCCGTGAGCATCATGTGCGCAGCATCGAGACTATGAATGAAGTTGGGGGGGAAGCCCAGCCGCTGCTTAGATCTGCTGACGGGTGCACTGTCCCCCGAGACGTGCAACGTGTGGCGCTGCAGCGCGGAGCGGATCTGCTGCTGCTGCAAAGAGCGGTAGGGCTGTTCGCATAGCAATCCAACAGCCGGCACCTTCCAGGCCACGGGGACTCCTGCAGCTGTGCACACAGTCGAAACGGCGTCAAGCCACTTCTTTGTCCGCATCGCCCCGCGAAACAACTCCCCAATAGACTGCAGCACAACCCGTGACAAGAAACCACCCAACTCCCGCAACACTTCTGGGCGCACGCGCCCCCCCAACAGGTCCTCCAGCTGAGATAGCACCTGGTCCCTTGCACCGAGTGCTGTTACTCCATAGCACACCGTCATCACCGTTTGTTTGACTACAGACCGTTGCAGCACCAAGTGTTCCTCACACAAACGCGCCAGCTCCCGTCGCCTCTCCTGCTGCTGCGGGTGCTGACGCTGCAGCTCCTTGGCCAAGGGCTTCTGTTTTCGCACATTCCCTTTGATATGCTGATGATGATGGATCTGCGCCTCTGCACCGTCCGGTACATCCGGGGCAGCCGCAACAGCGACTCCTGTGGAGTCTGTGCAACCGCTGGCGATACGGTGTACATTCTGCTTGACCACCTGCAGTACGAGGGAGTAAACATCTTGAGGTGTCTCTGCCGGGACCAGATTTACAGCGGCTCCCCCTCGAAGGTCTCGATTGAGAGCTGCATAGTGCTGCAAGCCGTTGCATGTCCCGTCCAGGTGGACAGGCAGCTTGCTGCAGAATGCTGCAGGGTTCCCAGACTTGACAGCTGCTGCGATTTCCAAGACTGCAGCCAGTGCCTGCCACGGCTCTTCGGCTGCGCCCCAGAATTCCTTGTGCTGCAGCGGCTGCTCTGCCGCCGCGAGGATCTGCTGCATTTTAGTGTCTGTCCACCTGCGTCGATCTTCAAATGAAATTTTATTGTGGCCAAAAAGATTTGCCATGTGTATGCGCAGCCACCTCCAGCCGCTGTCCCCTAGCGGCCTGCTGCGAGCAAACCGCAGAAGGGCGCGGGAAACATCGTCGCCCATGTGGTTGAGGTGTGGGGGCAACGGGTAGCAGCGGCCTCTGAAGTCGATGTTGTGGGGGAAGTACAGGGCAGAGGATAAAGCAAAATTCACAGCGGTCTCCAGCTTCAACAAGAATGAAGGCCGCTCACTCTTCATGCGCGTTTCCTGTTGCAAGAGATGTCGCAGCAGCAACGATCGGCTCTCGCTACTGCTGGTGCTGCTAATCTTACCGGCGGTGCCGCCCTGTTGCTGCTGCTGCGCCTCGTGCTGCTGCAGCTGCTCAGCAATCGGCATGGAGTGACGAGATGGCATCTTGCCCAGGCCCTCTCCAGCTGCCCAGGCTGCCTGTAGCACCTTGAGCACCTCGTTGTTGATTTGCCAGGGGACAGAGCCCAGCAGGGAGACAGCAGTGCGAACGGTAGATGTGTCATACACCCGGAAGTCTTGACAGGCCTTTGCTCGAGGTCCCCAGCCCAAGTAGATTTCATTACCTTTATTGCTGCGGCCCCCCTTTTTCCCCCGGTTGCATCTGACGTGGCTATTGCTCTTCTTGCTGCAGTCCGCTTCTGCTCCAACAGATAATGCCAGGGGATCCGTGTTGCCTGGAACTTCCTCGGAGTCATGAACAGCGTCCGTAGATGCGAAGCTGCTGCTGTTGCTTCCAGGGTCCGTGTCAGAAACACTTCGCACGAAGGCTGTGCGCAACATAAGGTAGCCGCCGCTGCCATAGGAAGTCCACGGGGCTGGGGGGAGCAGCATGGGTACATGCTTGAGCATTAGCCAGAATGGAGAAGAGAGACGGTCTGTGGCTGTGCGGACAGTAGCAGCAGCAGCAGCAGCTGCTGCTGCTGCTGCTTCCGCGCCTCCGCTTACCTTGGAGGGCAGGGGACTCTGCGAAAGGCCGCTCGTCCGATTAGCTGGACAGCTAACAGCAGCAGAAGCAGCTGCAGCAGCTGCTGTCGCCGTGAGGGGCGGTGCTGGTGTTGTCGCCGTTGCTGTAACAGAACGCGAAGTAGCAGCAGCGGCAGCAGCAGCAGCGACCGCTGCTTCTTCAGGGCCCGTCCCCACAGCTGTCAAGCGGTCAAAGCAAAGCCGCCGCATTTCGATAACTCCAAATTTTTTGCGTCGTTTTGCGCAATACACAACTCGGTGGCGGAATGCCGGCAACTCAACCTGTACGCAAATACCCCAAACCGTAAAACTCTAAGAGTTAATGTCCAGCAGAAAGACGTAAAGTAGGTGAAGCCGCCTATTCGCTGCTCCACATCATCCGCGTCTACCTAGCTTTCGATGGTACACCCTAAACACTCAAGCCTAATGCCTTGACCAAAACCCTAAACGTTACCGCTTGGATGGCTCCCGACCTTGTCGTGTCCGTGGCGAGATTTGTAGGCTACAAGGTGCTGCAGCTCCTTTGCTGCTCTCCCGCCGAAACGCACATAAATCCCAGATGGTGCAGCTCCATCGGCTGCTGCCTCCGCGGCAATTGCAGCTTCCTCTTCTGCAGCAGCAGCAGCAGCAGCAGCAGCAGCTTCTTTCGCAGCAACAATGTCTTCGGCTGATTCAGGGAGAGCACCTGCCACTGCTGCTGCTTGCGTTTGTGTTGCTGTTAGCAGCTGCTTCTCCCCCAGGTACTGCTGCTGCTGTTTCTGCTTCTCGTTTTCCTGCTTGCGGCGTCTGCTAAGGAGTATGCGTTGCTGCTCCGCACGGTGTTGCTGCAGCTCTATGGAGAGCTCCTCCTTTGCTGCAGCGTAAGGAGCCTCAATCATGGCATGCTTCAGCAGCAGCTGCAGCAGCAGCCCCCCTACAGCCAGACGCTTTCTGGAGGACCACCTGGGAAGCAACACCGGTGTCGCTGCTGCCGCCTGTGTTGCAGTACCAGCAACGCTGCTGCTGCGTTGCTGCCGTTTCTGCTGCTGCTTGCGCAGCGGCAAATAGCACTGGCCTAACTGGTATTGCTGCTGTTGCCCTTCAAGAAATGCAGCTGCCACCTCTGTATGAACTGCATCCCCAATAGCCATTGCGACTTGCGTTACGAGGGCTTGGCGCTGTTGCAGCTCCGGCCCTCCAGATATCGAAGCAGCAGCAGCTGCAGCAGCGGCTGCGGCTCCTGCACAAGAAGAAGCAGCACATTCCCGGCCCCTACTGGTTGGCCCCGTAGGTGCGGTGGCACGCGGCAGCAGCACCTGCTGCAGCACCGTGCGCGCAGTGATGACAGCTAGCAAGACGGGGTCGAGCTGCTGTGGAAGGCAGGCGTCGTGGCCCTCTAGATCACTCGCAGCAACAGCAACAGCAGTTGCTGCTGCGGTTGCAGAACCAGTCGAAGGTGGTGCATCTGTACCAACTGGAGCAGCAACAGCGGCTTCTGCAGCAACTCGTCGCTGCCGCTGCTGCAGGGACGCTATGGGCTTGGCCATGTCGTGCACCCAGGGGACCCACAGCCTCTTCGCAGGCCCAGAGTCCCCCCCCCTGCCTGTTGCTGCCAACTGCTGCAGCTGCTGTTGCACCTCTGCAGTCAGGCGCCTCCATATACATCCCTCTATTATGACTTGCCTCCTCTGTAGTACACTCAAGGGCTCATCTACAGACGAGCGAGAAGGTAACAGATCCTCCTGCAGCTCCTCTTGCTGCTGTTGCTGCTGCGCTTGCGGCTGCTGTTGCTGCTGATGTTGTTGCTGCTGCTGCTGTTGCGGTTGCGGCTGCTGCGGAAGGTTCGATGGCAGGTCTTGCTGCGCCCATCTGAGAGGAATAGGGTACGGGTTCGCGCCGTAGGCAGCTTCCTTTTGCTGCTGCAGCCACTCCGTATTCAGCAGCAACGGTCGCAGCGGTTTCTTTCGCTCCGTCTTTCGAGGCTGCCGCTGCTCTCCAGGCAGCTGCGCTGCCTGGAGATGTCTGAACAGCTCCTCTTTGGGAACGTCCGCAAGCAGCAACCCCTGTTGCATGGCTTCGAGCTCGAGCGCATGCAGACACAGCAACACGCTGGCCGAAAGTCCAGCAGCAGGGGGAGTAGCAGTAGCAGCACTTTCTCCTGCCGCTCCTGTTTCTGCTGTCAAACTCGCAGCAGGGTCCTTCGACACGCCAAGCAGCCTCATATACACCTGGCGCAACTGTGCACTGCCCATTTGCCGTAGCTCATTCAGGCCTTTGAGTGCGGATGGAGCATCTGCTGCTGCTCCTGCTGGCGCTGATTGTGCCGTTTCTCCCGCCCTGACTTCTGCTGCTGTTGTTTCCAGATGCTCGTGTGGTAATGCCGCCGTTGTTGCCTCAAGCACTGCTTCTGCAGCGTCTGTATGGGCCACTGAGCCTGCTGATGGGACGTTACCTGGGCTGCAATTAGCGTCAGGCTGCGTGCTTTGCTGATGTTGCTGAAGTCGCGGTTGCTCTTGTAACTGCTGCCGCTGTTGCTGATGCACGTTGAACGGTGGCTGAGGAAGTTCCAGTAGGAATCGCTCGAGAGAAGCCTCTTCCTGCCACTGCCAAGGATGCTGGTGCCGATACTTCTGGCCATTCGGATGTTGTTGTTGCTGTTGCGGTTGCTGTTGCTGTTGCTTTTGCACGGTTGATACTGCGATGTGCCCTGCTCGCAAATCCCCACTTCTCGGCGGCTCAGGATGCTGCCAGTGCGAAAACGCAGGATCATGCAGGTAATGCTGCTTCAGCTGACACTGCTGCAGCTGATTCGGCTGCTGCTGCTGATGCTGCTGCAGCAGCTGCTGCTGCTGCAAATGTTGTTCTTGTTCTGTGTACGGTAGCCGCCGTAGTAGTTGCTGTCCTCGTCGAGGTAAATCAAAGTCATGTTTTGGACTCCTCCAACAAGCAGCGTTGGCAGAAAAAGGGAAATCGTTATCTCCGGTATAGGTTTGTTGTTGATGCTGCTGCAGATGCGAATGGTGTTGCTGATCCCTATGCTGCAGAGCAGCTGCAGCGGCAACCGAACTGGCTGCTCTCGAGGAGGCAATGCGCTTCTGAAGGTGGAAACGTGGGTAATCCACTGGAAGCAGCTGGTGCAGCAGCAGCTGCCGCTGCCGCCGCACTGAAGAGTGCAGCAACACATGCTGCGTCATGGGTAGGCAGGGATTCCCACCGGAGGAAGCCGCAGCAGCTGCTGCAGCCGCCGCTGTTGTTGCTACATCAGCTCGTGCATGTGGAGTGATCCTCTGCAGCAGGGACATGGCCTATGTCAAACCCTTTCCCGCGCAGCAGCAGCAGCTGCTGCTGCTGTTGCCGTCGCAGCTGCTCCAGATGCTGAAGTGTATCGCGATACCGCCAGTTGCCCGGATGTAAAATCTGGATGGGTTTCCTAAGGCATTAGAGGCAGAAGCAGAATTATTTGAGGAAGATCTGCGATTGAGGAGCAATCAACCTCAGTGATGCCCCAGTTGATGGCATCGCCTGCTGTCGGCGATGCTGTTGCTGCAGTTTCACACTGGCAACATATACACCACAAAAAGCTATCCACGACACAAATAAAAAACTAAAACCCATTAGAAGTTTTGTTGTTGCTGCTTCCGTTGCAGGTTCCTGTGTTCCTGAGGCCAAGGGGCCCCCAGTAAGTCCTGGGGGGCCCCACATATTGTTCTTCCGTCTCCTCTCCCTGTTGCTTCCCGTCTATGGCACTATTAGTTTCGCCGTAGTATGACAAGGACGTCTGCACTGAAGTTGTTGAGACACTCCTGTAGCTGCTGCTGCAGTGTGCTCCTACAGAACGTGCGTCGGCCCAGATTGTCCCTTGAAGCCTGTGACCTTCGAGGGCCCCCTAGCGCCTCGCAAACACACCCAACTTTCCACATGACAGATGGTTGCCCTGTAGGATCACGTGAAGCGCTTGAAAAGGGGGAAGCCCAGTAGTGGCACAAGCGACAGCTGCAGCATGCGACAACATCAACAACCACAGTAACGACGGCGACAGCGCCTCAAAGAACGGCGGGTGTGGGCAGGACCAGTTCCAGAAGCAGCAGTAGAGGTACTATTGTGCGGTATCAGCAGAAAGACAAGCAGATGCTCCAGGACCTTGTTTGTCCCTACAAGGATGGCGACGCAGATGGCAGCCAGCTTCCCACCGGTAGTGTCTTGTCGCCCTTCTACTGCTGTTAGATGTCCTGCTGCAGCAGCGCGAATATGTTTAATGGTGGATTCGTTTGTATACACCTCAAGGTATTGGGGCTCCGGGGGCCTCAGGAATCGAATTACAAGCTTCAACCCGCTGCAGCAAGCATTACGCACCACGAGTGCAGCAGCAGTTGCTGCATCAGCAGCCGCTGCAGCAGTATCTGTTGCGGCGGAATCTGCTGGTGCTGCACAACTATCATGGGGTGACGTATGCGCTGTTGTCAGTTGCAGCAACTGCGTTGCCAGTCGACAGTTTCTGCAACGGCAGGACCTGCAGCAGCGAATGCCGCAGCAGTGCCTTCAGCAGAAGCAGCATCCAGGGCAGCAGCAACAGCGGCGGTTCGCCAAGATAGTGCGGTGGGACCCAGACACCCCACTGGTCTACGGTCTAGAGACGTTTCGGGAAGCGGAGGACTTCTTCAAGGCATGCGAGCAGCACAAAGGTGCGCTGGTTCTGCCATTGCTGCTGCTTGTCAAGCTGATGTAGATGCTCATAGTCCTGCGGATGCTTTCCTTACTGCTCCGGTGTTAATTACCTCGCTGACGCGGCTGTCTTTGTGGCGGATGATGCTGGTGCTGTTGCCTCCTCACGTCTTCTGGCGCACTCACCGACTGGGTGTAGAAAATCTTTCTCGTTGATGCTTATCAAAGTGGAGTTGCTACTGGCGTCGCAGCCTCTATATTGCTGCTGACAGCGCAGATGTAGTAGCTGTTGCCGGTGTTGTTGCCGTTGCTGCTTAAGGAAAGATGAAGCGGAGGGATTGGATGGCTGCCTTGTCTTTGGTGTCTACTCGGCGTCGACTGGACTTTCGCAGCCCGTCATTCAGGGCCTTTGTTGCTGCTGCTCTGCAGCAGCAGGAGTTGCTACAGGCGCCACACATACACCTCACGATTCACCGGTGAGAGGTGATGCAACAGTAGCGACGGAAAAATACGACGACCCAAGTGACTTCTCCTGCAGGACGGCCAGTGTGCCACACTGCTGCTGTTGTTGCTGCTGCTGTTGCTGCTGCTGTGCTGCTGTGTATAGGCTTGGAGTAGTTGGGTATGGCCCCGCTCTTTGGCAACTGGCGCTTCACCTGCAGCCACTGCTGCAGCAGCAGCAACTAAGCAGCAAGCAACTCGCTGTATGTGCGTGGGGCATGGCGAAGAATGTGGTGACATCCCCGCCCTTGTGGGACCTCATTGGTGCGCAGGCGGAACCCCTAAACTCTTAACACTACCACTTTAACTTCAACTGCTGGGTCGTACAGCCTAGATAGGAAATGCCTTGCTTGGGTGTTTCTTGATTGATTTGTTCCGGCATTTGGTGAGAGGGTATAGGGCTTACGGCTTGGCAGGTATGGTTTCGGGTGAGTGATCAAGTGTTTCGGGTTAAAGGTTAAGTGTGGGACTGCAGGAGCAGAGGCACTTCGACTGGCGAGAGGACTCTGCCTGACGGACCTGTCGATGATTCTGTGGGCATTTGCCCGTGTAGAGGTACGTGGACCCTAAACCGTTAGTGCTAAACAACAAGGTCGCGTACAGGCCATTATAGCTGGATACCATGCCCCCGGGAAGGCAGCAAACCCATGGTGCACCTCAGCAGCAACGAGCGGAACACTTCAGCTGAGTCACCTCACGAGCACGCACAGTTTCTCTACATGTTTCTACTTATGTCTTGAGCACGAAGGTCAGTTTCAAGCCGACGGCGGCTGTACTGAGGAACGGTTGCCTTCGCTACAAGGACACAGGCGAAGGCAACAGCAAAAGGGTCAGCAGACTCTGCTGCTGCTCCTGCTTCTCCGAATGTCTCTGCAGCGCCTAAAACCCTCTGAGATTTTGGTTCTCAAAGAGGAGGTTCTCAACCGCCTTGGCACCTTCGTTAGAAAAACGCTTGCTGCAGCAGCTACGCCAGACTTGGGGGCGGCAGCCGCAGTAGCAACTGCCGCTACTGCTGCTGCTGCTGCTCCTCCAGCTGCTGCTCAGCTGACGCAGCGACATGAAGATGGATCCCAGCGTCTGGGAGTGACGACGCATGCAAAGGCAATAACGAGTGAACTGGGTGACGCTGCTGGTGCTGCAGTTGCAGTGACAGCGCACGACCTGTGCATGCTAATACGATCATTTGCCGATCTCACTCCCGGCGACTCTGCCCTGATCATTCGTCTACTGTACACCCTCCTTCTGGTCTGCCGCGTTCCGGCTTCAGTCCAGGCAGCAGCAGCGGCAGCAGCAGACACAGCGAGTGCAGCAACAGGAGAAGAAGGACAACTCAGGGAGGTGGAAGCCTCTGCTGCCTTTGGTGCTTCAGCCCCACTAACTGCTCAGGTACGTGAGACGAGGCAAGCTGGTCGCCAACCAACTGCTGGCTAGCTGCTGGATAGCTTGTAATTAGCTGATGACTAGCTGCTCGCCAGCTCCTAAGTATTTTCTGGCTCGCCTCGGTAGCGCCGGCTGAATCATGCGTTTGGCGAGTTATCGACCGGTAGGTGATGTCGTTTGTGTGTCAGGGTCTCACTGCTGTTTGGACAGCTTTGAAAGACGCAAAAATCACAGAGGTCTTTTCTCTGCCTCAGCACAAGAGACCGTGCAGCAGCAGCAGCAGCAGTAGCAGCAGCAGACACCGCGCCTATCTGCCGTTTAGAGAGACTGTCCCTCTCGATTGTCTGCCTCTGCTTCTCCCTATCCTGAAGCCAGCCCAAGTGTTTCCACGAGTAGACCCACAGGCAGCGTTATCTGAAACGATGCCACCAGCGACCAGGGTAGAAGCACGAGCAGCGCCACAAGGAGTAGCAACTGATGTTCCGCATGCTACACGAATAGAAGCTGTTGGACCTACCACAGCACGGGCCTTGGATTCGGCAGGGACGGAGCCCCATCCTTACGCTGTTGCGGCATCCTCTACACCAGCAGCAACGGCCGCTGCTGTAGAGGAGGGGCTTAGGAGCAACGCGCTGCTGCACAGCGCCTGTACGGACGTCCTGCTGGAGGTGTTGTGTGAGGAAACGCGCGCACTGCGCCTTGACCACACCACCAACACCAGCATGGTTGCCTCCTTGGCGGAGGCTCTGGCTGACATGCAGGTGAATTCCAAAGCGAAAACCCTTCTCTCCATATTGGTACCCTTAGCATTCAGGATGATCCATTTGCATGCGTTTCCCCGTGGGACATAGCAAGGAGGGAGAAACTGGCAAGCAGAACTGTACAAAGGAACACAATGCTGGGGTCGTGTGTGATGCTGCAGCTTGTTGACCCCCGCTTGGTGTACCAGCTGGTGCTCTTTGCACACCAACGGGGGGCTGCGCAGTTTCAGGGAGAGCAGTTGCTCAAGGTCCTTGAGGCTTTCGAAGGCTGTCAAATCGCTGACAGCAAGGCGTGGGCCAGACTCGGTCAGCCCTTTCACAGCTTCATATGAATCGCTCCCTTTATGAGGTTGTTGTTACTGTTGCTGCTGGTGCTACGCATGCTGCGCATCATGTTGCTGATGGAAGCACTGCCGCTGCAGGTGCTGGTGCTGCAGTTGCCGCTGTAACCGATTGGAATTTTGCTTCTTCACCATTGCTTGCTGACCATGCATCCCTCCTGCACGCAGTGCTGTTGTGGTTGCTGCGGGTGTGTGTACATCGTAGCGCACCGAGCACAAGACGTGGTAGCGGACTTGGATTTGAAGGGACTGAAGAGACTGAGACAGCTGGCGAGGCGTTCAGGATACAGCAACGCGAGGCTGGAAGGAGTTTTTGACCACTTCGAAGCCCTCAAGGAAGGTGTCCAGCGCTGCGGTCCCCTCTAGCACCTCGTTGGGCAGCCCCCGGCCTTCTTGCTGGGGTTTACACATGTAGGTTGTCCTAGACTCGCTCGGGAATCTCCTCATCGACCCTCCACAGAGACGCCCCCACAGGGTATAGCGGCAAGGACTATTTTCTTCCTTACCATGTAGCGTTTAGAGCAGCTGCATGGTTCCCACGTGTTGTAGACCTCATGTATAGCAGGCTGTAGAGATTGCTCTTTGGGGCGGGGGGGATAAAAGGTTCTTGTGTGGAATCGTTTCACATTAGTTAGAGTGATGCGATGCTTGGAACGCATTGGCATCAAGCCCGTGCAATATAGTTTGATATACCGCCGCAAAGCTTGCAGTCCTGATGTTAGGCTGCGGGTCCTGACTCGCAGTTGCCTCCGTAAGTAGGATACACTTAAAATAGTTACTCTCTTGCTTCATGATTTGAAGATTGCAAACAAAATGTGGAGACCCCAACTTGCTGTTGTCCTCCAGCGAATTAGGGAATTAGTGCAAGATAAACCCTGGCGGGTTGCTGGGAGTGACACTGTGAGGTGGGGCAAAGCGTCTGGCGGGAATTAACGCAGAGACTGGACCAACAAACTGCTGCAAACTTTCCACCAAAGGCTGCCCTTCAAGCAGTCACAGCTGCAGAGCTGTTCTACCTCTTTTCGGCCTTGGTGTTCAGTATTCAGAGTTGCCAACTTGTCGGGGTTTAAAGCTCCTACAGTTTGCGAAGTTCGGCAGCACCCCGAGTATACTTAGAAAACAACACCAGACACAGGCATGCACAAAAGGCATTAAACAGTGACTCCGGATATACCGAAAACACGAAACCTCAATATCCCATTCCTACTACTCATACTCTGCAGCTCCAGGCCCGAAAACGGGAACTCTCACTTCAGTGTAGCTCCACAACCATACAACTTCAAGAGCATCGTTAAGCATGCAACTGAACAAACCAGGAAATTGCACAGGGGCATTGTTGCTTCCGTCTAACTGCAACGCAGTGGGGGCGAGGGCGCGGCTCGGACACTGAAGAGTACTACGTACACGTATTGGGTATAGGGAACCCCGTAGAGGAATGTATGCTTCATTTGCTAATACAAATGTTCCAAATTCTAATTTTTTGCCAGTAGCGGGAGATCACGGATCAGAAATCCGCCGTCAGTCTTGGTGTCTGACCGCCATAACCATTGGTGCATTTGAGTGCTGATGCTCAAGCAGGGGCCTGCTATTCTCCTGCAAATCAAAGCTCAAATATATAAAGCTTTCAAGTATAAGCAGTCTTGTTTTGAAGCTGCGATAAACCTATCTCCCGAAGAAAGTTATAAGCAGCGAAGGTGGGCCGGGCGGGGCC